TGGGTGAGCTCGGCCCGAGCAGTGTCGTTCCAGGGGCCGCATGAGCTGAGACAGGCAGCACCGGCTAATACGGTGCAGGAAAGTCTCATCCCTCTTTGTGAGCTCTGACGGTGGGGGAAAGGACTTGGGGGGGCTTTTCGGTGGCAGTGCACCTGCGCCCATGGTGGCCAGCATCCTTTTCTTGTGGCCCTCTCCTTCCTGCCTTCACCCACTCTCTTCCTTTCCAAGGACCTTCCAGCCCACTCGCTGGATAACCAGGTAATGCGGGATCATTAAGGGCTGAATAGTCTACGAGTCCCATGGGAGCCTTTTGGATATTAACTCTGAGGGAAAAGAGCATCGTGGATTTAACGGGACTCCTTCCTCCTGGGAAAGGCAGTGCTTCATCCTGCGGGGCTGCAGAAGTGGTGTGATATGGCCAGGCATCCCCACTGAAAGGCTTTATGGGGGAGAGCAAAGGGGCGCAGGGGAGTAACGAGAGAGAGAACGATGCTTAATATTTCACACTAGATTATCCCTGTAAGAGCTCAGTTCACACCTCTGCTACCAGTTTCTTGAGTGGTTTCTAGAGACAGACTCCCTTGCTCGGTTTTCTGTGCTTTGTCTCACCCGTCAGTGCACAGCCCTGGGCTAGGAAGGTCCGTGGGAGGCCCTCCATCCCTGCCCGCTCCGGCCCGTGTGAGCCTGCAGGCTCTTGGGGCCAAGGAGGTCTTGTGGATCAGAAGAAGACACTCCTGAGATGTCTCCAGGAGCTCCTGGGTGGATGTGCGGAGGGAGGGATGGAAGGATGTGTGGAGGCAGGGATGGAGCCAGGGATGGAGGGATGGGTAAAAGCAGCATCATAGCGGAGAAACGACTGAATCCGCAGAGCTCTTAATGCAGGAGTGAGAAATACTCTGTTCATCTGCAGCACAGCAGCTCAGCTCCATTCCATGATCTCAGATGCCTCCTCGGGCCAAGCAAAGTCCTTCAAGGACCAGCTTAAAGCCGACTTTACAGCCTCCTCACCTCCACGGAATGCTGAAACAGCCACAAACCAAAGAAGAACAAAATCTGCCTCTAAAGGAGTTGATGTGAAAACGGCCTTACCAAGGCAGCACAAAATCCATCTAGCCCAGCATCGCGTCTCTGTAAGCAGCCACGAGTGGAGGGAGTTGGAGGAGGACAAGACCCAAGCGGATGTGTATTGCAATTTTCGGTGTTTTTTTTTTCCTCCGTGAATTGGTACAAACCCAGTGTGAAGCTTTACAAGC